TCTTTCAATATAGCCCACCATGTAGGCACTTCAGGGTCAGTAACAGAAATAAACAGGATATCTTCTATAAATTATTTGTTCAAACCATGCAATTGGCTACACAAATATAATAAAAATGAATATATGTTTTATCTCACTAAATTGGGATGTATCTGAGTTGTTTCACCCCTGAGAGCATATTGGGCATCCCATGAATAATCAAGGAGGCAGTGAACAGGGAGGCTGGCTAGAGAAAGAGTACATCCACCAATTGACAGCCACTGCCCCAGTCTGTAGAATGATTTTTGCATGCTGACTACAACCATGATTATCACTCTTATTATTACTAAACTATTACTAAAAAATGAGAATTTCTTTTTTGTCTTTAAAATTGGAATTTGCTTTATAAGAGAAACGATAATCATAGCTGTACTTTTTTCATATCAAAGGTATAAGAAATAGTGGATGCTTTTGGTGCTATTTTCTAGTCTAGTTTAGCATAGTGGTTTTCAATCCTATGTTCCCCATACATATCTCAGTGTATATTAGATGCATTCACTAATAGTAGTAGCTCACTGTGGCTATGGTTCTCAAATCTGGAGAATGGATCAGTCTGAGAGGGTTTAAGAACCTCTTTGGAAAGTTGTTTACTCTAAAAAAGAAAAATCTGGAGAGGCAGAAATGCCTACTCATTAAGAAGCTGGGGTAGCAAGTTGGATAAATTTCCCCAAAGGAAGGCAATTTCCCCTTTTAAATGTGAAAATTACTAACATCAGTAAGATTATTCTATAAATTTCCTTTTCTCCATCCACAGTCCCTATACCTATGTAAAAATAATCATTAGCTTCCTAGACCTACTATTTGTTCAGCTTTGTTCATAAGAACAGAATATCTATCATTTTGAATAGCTTACAAAACGTTGATACAAGAAGTTGTAAAGGACTACAGAGACTGGCTTAGTATTCAATCTTTCTTAGGGAATATGAGAAAGTATTCATTTTTAGTCTAAGCTAGAGACATTCCTTTACATTTTGATATTTTACAGACATAGGTAAGTTACGACCTTCATTTAAACAAGTTAATAAGTTTACGCAGGGTAGCCAAAAATATACTCAATCATACCTTAATATGTCTCTTTTGCTCAAAAGCATTCTGTGCCACGAGTGAACAGAACAAGCCCTCACATTAGTTGTCTTCAATAAAACATTATCTTTTGGCTTCCTTTTGCACTAGGGGAAATAAAAAGTCACATGTGGAGAAGTTCTAAATGGTAGACAGAACTAATCCTTGGGGGGCAATTTTTATCCTCCACGGAAGTATTGCAGACTTCTTCCATTAGCATAGTCCCAGGGAGCAAAAGGTTAGGGAAGTACAGGGACTGCCAACTCTACCTGAATACATAAGTCAACATTTCCTCCAGGCACTGAGTGCGCCCACGTGTGCATTAAAGTATCTGAGACGGGAAACAACAATTGTAATATTTTACACTGGAATATATGCTGTGCACATGACGACATTTTGTTTATGGTTGTAGGGAAAAAGGGAAGGCAGTTTCCAGATTTCCCCCTCAGCACCTACCATTTGGCATAGGATATGGGAGGTTGAAGAAAACGGAGGGAGTTTTGCCTCAGTTGAAACAGCTGGGAAACAGATGGAAGCTCATGTGCGATTTGCCAAAAGCTTCTTGCAAAGATTCCACCCATTTTCCACCCTAGAAAAGCTAGTTGGGAGATAGGAATAGAGGCCTCGGAATCGGCAAATGATGGGTTTTGAAAAATATAAGAAAAAAGCCAAAGGATTTTTTTTGAACTTAATATTATAGGAAATATAAATACAGAAATGCAATTCCGAGGAAGATGTTTTCAATAGGAAAGAAAAAAGTGGGAGTATCATGGGTGAAAAACCACATGAATCACAATTACAGAGATATAAGTGTACATAGAATTAACATTGGTGCAGCCTCAGCTACCTTGACCTTCTTTCTCTTAAGTAATGAAGTTAAGTACACCCCACCCTTTGTCACGTTAATTACTATATAATTATTCCATTTGTCATTATCATAAATGTAAGTGTGCACAGTTTACTTCATTTTAGCCAGTGGATTTCACTTCATGAGCTACTTTGGTTTGGATTTCAGGCGTTCAGTAAGTTGCTTTTGGATTTAAATGTTGAATTATAGCCAGACTTTTGTTTAAATTCAGTCACTGGATGTATAAACCTCCTGTGTATATTTCAAGTTACAGTGGGCATGTGTATAAATCCCCTACATGTGACTGTTCTTCTAAGCATTGGCCCAAGTGTTGTGTGTTTTTGTGTTTGTTTGTGTATGTGTGTATGTATATATGTGTGTGTGTGCATGTTTGTAGTATTCTGAAGTACTTTTGAATGCCACAAAAAGTTCAAGAAAATCAGCTTCAAAAATAAATACAAGTTAATAGGCTTTTCTCAATGTGAATTTGTTCATTCATGCTTATATAAGGGAATGTGTTAACCATGAATCATTCACACTGAACTGCTCATGAGAAAAAATGCTCTGGCTCTGGTGTTCGTTTTCAAAGTTGCTTTACTGAAGGGAAAAGAGCATTGTCTCCATGTAATGAATAATCAGCCACAGATTTCAGACTGAACGTGGCTCCAAATTGGCAAAAATCATTTTGATTCACGTGAGAACATGGATCCTTGTGAGAGGGACTTATCTGAGTATTCTGGGCTGTGACTGAGTTTGCAGTCTGCCAGAAGAGCCAGTGGAAAAGTTAAGTTAAAAGAAAAAAAAATCATTGGGAAGTTTTGCTCACACAATACCAGAATAGCTAAATGCTCCAGAAGACGTGGAGGTTGGCAAATCTGTAGCTAAAAGAAATGGGTGTTGGACTGTAGGTTTCACTTAGGGCCTGGTAAGTTGGCGTTGGGAAGTCGGTAAGTAAACATGGCCTACGTGAGAGCTCACACATCATTTATTACGTAACTCACCTGGTCCCAGGGACTTACTATAAAGTGCAGTCGGCCTGTGTGTGACACACCACAAACCACTTTTCACTCTGCCTACAGCCTTGCCTGCCCAGCCAAGGTGGGGAGCCCGTGACAAGCCCAGAAATGTGGTCAGTGAATTCTGAAGCATTTCTGACGGTGCCAGGACACCAGTCAGTGAAACATACTCTGTGATCCCTCAGAGGAAAAGTAATGGCCAGGGTGCCAGAATTTTGATGCAAACCTATTGCTGCTGCTGCTACTAGACCTAGAAAACTTCACATCTGGCAAGCTTAGGTTCTGGTAAGAGTCAAAACAAAATTATTTACATTAGAGGGCCTTGTCTAGTAGACATTCATTATGCAGGGCTCTCCTGACTTCACTTATACTTCCCCCAGCCAGACAGAAAGAAAAGAAAAACATGGAAAAAAATCTTTTCCCCCCCTTAGTGTATTTAAGCAGCATTATATGAAGAAACAAATGTTGCCTGATGAGATCCTTCATAAAGCCTCACTATTTATTACATTTGTCAATTAAAAACAAGTGAAAATGTCCCTCTCTGTAACCTTTGATTGACCATTATTTGGGCTCACAGAAGAGTTCATTGTACTCCCACCTGATAAAGTCATCACTCTTTGCATATACATGCTCAAAAATAACTCAAAACTGAAATAATTTTCAAGAAAGCAAAAACATGCCTTTATTGTGATTATATTGATATCTTACCGAGGATAAATTTAACATGAATTCCTAGAGCTGGTATGATTACCTATTAACTGGTTTATGTGGAATTGGTTTCCATTGCATACACACATTCTCTTCTTCAGTATATTAAGAATGTCTTCTAATTTACATCTCAGGGATATTATGTGGATAAATGAAACACTGTATGTAAATTATGTCTTAAATACTTAGGAATAAAGATGGAATGATAGGCTCTAAATTATTAACTCTACATGGCATTTCACGATTTGGGGTTTGGATAGCTAATGTTAGGTGTTGTGCATCTTTTGTCTATCGCATACATCATGAAAAAAATTTAAACTCTGCTTATATTTTGAGTTACATGGACACAATTTAATCATAGATTCCATGTTGGACTAAGTGTTATCCTATATAATAAAAGCCTAATATGCTAACTGTCCGGTCGTCCATTCAACCAAAGTGCAATATGCTAATGATATGCTAAGGCCGCTCAACCGCTACTATGATGTGCACTGACCACCAGGGGGAAGACGTTCTGACCAGTAGGTTAGCTTGCTGCTGGGGTCTGGCCAATCGGGACTGAGTGAGATGGGCCAGACATGCCCTAGAGCCCTCCTGTAGTCCCTCCCCAGCTGGCCAACCTCCTGTGTCCCTCCCTGGCCCCGATTGTGCACTGGTGGGGTCCTTTGGCCTGGCCTGCACCCTCTCACAATCCAGGCTGAGGTACCCCCACCCCGAGTGCACGAATTCGTGCACTGGACCTCTAGTACAAAAATAAAAGAAGAGCATTTCTGTTGCCCTCAAGGAGACTGAACTTAAATTGAAATTAAAAGGCTAATGAATACACACACACATATGCTTAGCCTGATTTTTCACCGACTTTTATGGTTCAGTTGCTAAACATTTGAATTGCTCCAATATACATATACCAAGTCACCACTATTTTTTAGTATTACTCTGTCTAGCCATACTTAGAACTCAAGTATATATGTTAAATTATTAGGCAACATTTTATATCTGAAATTGTTTTCTAGATAACTTTTGGTTTATTTGATCATTGTAAAATTAAGAGCAATTAAATATTTTGTTCATATTTCATAAGAAAATAAACTAGACATTTCCCAATTAGGCTGTGAGTCACTTGAAGGTATATTGAAAAAATAAGAAATATATAAACTCACCATGATTAGGGGAGATCCATCTTATTGTTTTTGGTCTCTGTTTTCCCCATGTCTAACACAGTACCTGAAAAAGTAGTTAATAAATGTGTCTGGTATGAATGACATAATTGAAGAGTTTGAATGAATGAGCTAAATCTAATTCTCTCTTGCTTTTGTCTTTCTCCCTAGACTCCCAGGAAGGCAATTACAAGTCAGAAGTCAATAGCAAACCCAGGAAGGAAAGGACAGCATTTACCAAAGAGCAAATCAGAGAACTTGAAGCAGAATTTGCCCATCATAATTATCTGACCAGACTGAGGAGATATGAGATAGCTGTGAACCTGGATCTCACTGAAAGACAGGTAAAGTCAGACTTTGTCATTATATGATATTTTTAATTGCTTTGGGTCAACATTCTTCTCCAGGGACTTTTGCAATATCTAGACCAATGGTTCTTAAATATCATTTGGAAGACAGGTGTTTTATTTCATGATGAAAGTTTTGCCCTGTAAAATAGCAAAATTAAGGATAATATAACAATGTTTTAAAGAAAATGATACTGATTCAGTTTAAGGAATCATTCTTTAATCTGTGATTGTGCCCTTTCTGCCTTTAAAATACTTTTTATTGTATATAATGTGGGTAATTTTGTTTGCTTATATTTCAAATATCTCCTTATATAGTGTAATAGAAAGTAGGCAACACCATGTGAGTTTCCTCAGTTGCTCCGGATAAGGTTTATATTGCAGTAACACAGACCCCCAAACTTCAAAGATATAAAAAAAAGTTCATTATTTGCTTACTGTCTATACTAACTTTACAAGTCCAACATTCCAAATAATCACTCACCAGACCCTGTCTCTCTGGCATCTCAATATGTGGTGTCCTTGGTAACCACCGGAGGTAAGACAGAGTTGGAGGTTCATGCATTGACCTTTAAATGTTTTCACCTGGAAATGACCCATGTCACTTCCATTTACACTCTAACGTCCGGAAATAGTCAATTGTGCCACTTTATTTCAAGGGGGCTGGGAAATGATGGGAGCAAGGGCACAGAGGTCATTGGTAAATATTTCTGACTTATCACCCAAAAATTTTTTTGAAACTGTATTGGTCTCAGAAATTCAAAATTATGGTCCATTCATTTAGAGAACATTTTGGCATTATTAGTACTCTGTGGACTCCAGTAATAAGACTTTTAGGTTCTGTCTTGGATTTTATTTGAATGGCAAGTAATTCTCCCCAGTAGCTCCCAGTGCACTCTGCTATGAGTTCTGATTTGTCCTAGGAGAATCTAGCCTACTGATGGTTAACAGTTGCTAATCTTTAGAAAAAACATTCCTGAAAGCAAATGCAAACATCTTTGTGGACAGTGCAGTTATGATTGGCACTCTCAGGGCTAGAGTTTCATTTCCTCCCTCACTGTACGCCCCTCCTCCAGGGATCCCATTGGAACCAAGGAAATAGAAACAGGGTGTGTACAAATGAATGCTATCGTAGAAGTCCAAGCTATTTTATCCAATTTCTTAAATCATCTGTTTTTCTTCTGTTAATTTCTATATTGTACCTTTAGATAGGATAGTTCTGGGTAGTGGAAAATATATGGAGGAAGACTTTCATGTGGTTTTATTTATTGGCAGTTTATTTTTTGTTGAATATTATGACTAGTACCTACATTATGAAGCACAGCATTTTCCTTCCTGTGAATGTCACATACAAAACCCCTTCCATAATTGTACGACATTTGGTGTGCTGGACAGTTGGGTCTAAAATCTGCATCATCACCCATCTGTGATTTTTTATTCAGTTTTTTAATTGTTATTTTTTAATGGGAACAGGAAAAAAGAAGGGAGGTAGGAATTATACATTAATGTTCTTTTACAGAGACATTGAATTCTAGAAAATACAACCAAGTTTTATTTTATTTTCATTGATTTCAGAGAAGATGGGAGAGGGACAGAGAGATAGAAACACCAGTGATGGGAGAGAATCATTGATTGGCTGCCTCCTGCACACCCACACTGTGGATGGAACCCACAACCTGGGCATGTGCCCTGACAGGGAATCAAACCGTGACCTACTGGTTCATAGGTCTATGCTTAATTACTGATCCACGCCGGCTGGGCAAAAAACATGTTTTATATGATACATAAAGGAAATAAGAAACTAGAGTTTGCTCCCATTCTACAAAAATGATAGGATGCAGTACTGTACTCTTACTCAAGAGAAAAGTCAAGATTCTATGATTGCTATTCTGGGGATGGCCTGTGATTACCTGTCATTATCTGATCACAGAGCAGAGGTTTTGCTTTTGGCTGTTAATAATTTCTTTTTAGAAGCAATTTGTAAATTTTGTTTTGGAATTTTGAAGGTATTTTGGATATTCTTTCTTTTTAACTGACTTGCTACACTTGGGGGAAAGCATTGTATCCAAGATAAAGTATATATATAAAAATTTAATCTTTTTTTTTTAAAAAAGGTCCCTTTTAATTGTTTTATCAGTTAAACTTTACTATGTAACAAACCAATTAAGAATCTTAATGGCTTCAAACAATAATTGACATTTAATTTGCTCATAATTTTGTGAGAAAGGAATTCTGATTTGGCTCAATTGGACAGTTGTACTGCTGGCCTTCAACTGGGGGGTCGTTCTGGGCAGCCTCAGCTGGGCCAGTGTGTCTCTTGTGTGTCATCTCATTTCTAATAGACTTTCTGAGATTCTTCAAATGGTGGTAAAAGCATTCCCAGGAGTAATTAGAAGAAAACTCCAATGGACATTGGCATTTTAAAGCCTCTGCTTGCGTCATATTTACTAATGTCACATTGTCTAAAGCAAGTCACATGACCAACCTCAGTGTCCATGTAGGAAGGGGCCACCTAAGAGATTGGAAGGAAGGCAAATTTTGTTGGAGGCCATTACTAAAACATCTGACTTTAGCCTCATGTGGGGGAGGGGAGAATAACTACAACAACAAAATGAGAGATAATAAAGTTTTCAAAGAATTGAAAATTTGGTATTATGCAGATTTTTTTATCCTATACATTTGAATTTGGAGTTTTATAAGTTCATATAAAAAGGAGCTGTATGCATGTGGAATTTAAGTACACAAACTAAGTCTTTAGAGGGCTGCTATTTGTTACACAGAAAATTGAATTGTTATGTGAAAAATCTGAACAAAAATACTAGATTTACCAATTGGAATTGTATATTCTTATACAAGGAAAAAAATCTCTCTAAAGCACAAAATGGAAATTAAAACTATTTTCTCTTTCTTCTACTCAGGTTTGTATGTCATAATGGATATGAAATAATTTTTAGCATAAACTATGTAACACAACTATCATCAGAGGGGAAACATCTTTGCTATGCAAGACATAGTGAATTAATTATTTTGTAACACGAGTATTTGTTGAGCCAGATTCTTACTGTTAAAATAAGCTGGACAAGTTTCTGCTAGAACTCACAAAAGAGGAAAAATTGAACAAGTATTAACAAGTGTGATGAGTGTTAGATGTCACAAGAGAGGCTGGTCTGGGAGAAGATTCCTGGTGATGCTAAGTCTTCAGTATAATTCTACACGTTTGTGCACCTGCAGTATCTTAAAATGAGAAAATAAAGCTTTGTTTATGTTTTCTGGGCTGAATTTTACTATGCTAAATTTATTATAAAAATGTTGCATGCTGTCAGTCATCAATTTTGCTAAATTTTGGACCCCTTTAAGGGTCTGAAAGCATATTCCTCCCAGATGCCAGGGCTCTCTTTCCAGCGAGATATTTCGTTGTTTTTTTCCTCTAGGTTGGGCTTTTAAAGTTATAAACATGGAGTTATAAAGTAAAATTATCTTCTTTTAATTGTGATATATCTATCTCATCACTTTGATTTTGCAATAATGCCATACAAAGTTACCTATGTAATCTTTCTTTACCCTATAAATTCTTAAGTAACATCCTTTTTATGGGATGTCCACATGTAAAGTATTCTAATTATATGTACATTTTTTTAATTTCCACTCTGCAAGCCTTATCTTTTCCATACATTAAAATAACATGAGATTTAGTGAAGTAATTTACATGTATATTCCAAAGATTTTATCTAACGCCATATTGTAAAATATTTTCCTTAACTTTAACAGAATTTTCAGTGTCCAAAAATATTTTTCCTGATTTTTAAAGCCTTTCAAGATGTAAATACAGAAATAGAATTCATATGTATAGAATATAAATGAAAAATACCAAATATTAAATAATTTCTATCCTTAGCAAAATCATGTTATAGAAATAATTTTCTCCTAAATGAAAACTTACTTTATATTCAGAAGTACCCTTTATACATACTTTGATCTAAAATCTTACCTATTTGCCTATACAACATGTCTATGTATAACTGAAATGTTACGTGTAGATTCCTTTATCTTCCTTATATTACCAGGCAATGTACCTGCCTCACATTTTATTATGTACCACATACATGTTGTTATAAAGATTTACAATAATGATTATATTTTCATTTAGGAAAAAAGATATGTTGAATTGTTAAATATCATTCCCCACTTGAACTTTTTGAACTTTCAAATCCCTACCTGAAGAATAAAACCTCACAGCTAAGTAAGATTCTTATGTCTGTGTCTTCCATAATGCAATGCCTTTACAGTTCAGGGAAGCCTATAATTCCTTGAAACTCCATCTAACCAAAAAGAAAGAAAAGAAGGCTCATCCTGCAAAGTAATTCCATGTTAGCTGTGCTAGCACATAGGTACCAACTAAAATTATTGTATTTTATGTTAAAGAAAAATGGAGACACTAAAACAAGGCTGAACTTCAATTTTTTTCCCTCACCCAAATACATGCTTATTGATTTTAGAGATAGAGGAAGAGAGCGAGAGCTAGAGAGAGAGAGAGAGAGAGAGAGAGAGAGAGAGAGAGAGAGATTGGTTGCCAGGGCAGAACATCAAATATTTTTAATTGTATAATGTTGTTTCACAGAATAGTTACCACTCCAGTAATCTCCCAGCTTCTAATTTACAGCTTTCAGTTTACAACATATTCTCATCCACTTCTCAATCAACAGCTAATAATCTCCAGTTGGCAGAGCCACTTGGAATATTTTGAAGAGCCAGTCAGTGTAGAGACCTCCTGTCCCAACGTATTTTTAAGTTTGACAAGCTTATTCTGGCTTTTTCATCCATCCAGATACACTTGGATGAAGCTCCCGCCAAATTTTTAATATCTCACAGTGGGGAGAAGAGAGACGGCAGTTGTATGAAACTGTAAAAGGAGTGACAAAACTGACATTTTTATAGAGTCAAGGCTGCCAAATATAGAAAGAATGGGAGATCCTTCCACTTCACAAAGTCATTTCACA